TGAATCTTCTTTGATACCTAATATAATGCATGCAAGGTTCCTTGACCAACCATAGGTTCGCCTGAAAATTCTTAACCTTAACTAAAAGGTTCCTAAGACGTTCTATTTTTCCATAGAAATAGATTCGTTCAAAAAAAACTCCAGAAGATGTCGATCGGAAATGAGAAGATTGGTTACGTAAAAAGAAGAAAATGGATTCATATTCCCATACATGAGAATTATATAAGAATAAAAAGAATCTTTGATTTCTTTTTGAAAAAGAGGAATCGGCTTTCTTTGGCCTACTACTAAGAAGAGTATTCCAATTACAATACTCGTTGAGAAAGAATCGTAATAAATGCAAAGAAGAGGCATCTTTTAACCAATAGCAAAGAGCTTGAACCAAGATTTCGACATGGACAAAGTGGGGTATTTGTATATCTAATAGAAGATATAAATGTGAAAAATTGTCTTCTAAAAAGGGAAATATCGAATGAAGTGATCCTAAATTCTGAAATTTGACTATTTTTTTCCCTTCTAGACAAGATATGAATTGTAGAGAAAATGGAATTTCCACAATCAAAGCAAACCCCTCGGATAGAATTTGAGAATATAAATTCTTGTTGCGCGCCAAAAAAGGATCTTTGTTAGAATCATTAGGATAAATAAGAAATTGACACATTCGAATAATTAACCGTTTCACAATTAGTAAACTGGATTTATTCCCATAACCCCGATTTTCTGAAAAAATAGATCTACTCAAACCATGATCATGAGCAAACCCATAAATATACTCCTGAAAGATAAGTGGATATAGGAAGTCATGTGGTTGAGATCTCTCTAGCTGTAAATATCTTTGGATTTTCTCCATTGGAACTTCTACTTGAATCAAAGGTAGAAGGTTTTTTGAGTTATCAAATAATACATAGTGCGATATAGTCAAAACAAGGTATTCTATATTCTAGTAAGAATAGATAGCTCAGACAGGTAAACTTATCAACAGATTTTCCACTCTCTCTTTTTTGATTCATTTCATTTAATTCGTCTATGTTATAGGATAAGAAGATGTTTGGAAATCTTTTATTTTTTAAACCTAATCGCTCTTTTGATTTCGGAAAAAACTTTTATTATCAATATACTGTTTCTTTTACACACACATCTCCATTCCATAATAGAGAATGCCAATAGTTAGGATTCATTTTAAAAATATAGAATCCACTCGTGAGGGGAGAAGCCCTTCCCGTCCCAGGCACTAATCCATTTTTAACGTCTAATTAGATCGGGAAATTATTCAAATTAAGAACCGAAGCTGGTTGCTTTTTCTTTCTGATAATTAATTAATTCAAAATTGAAGACATAGGGCCCTATCCATTTATTCATTCGACCTAACTTTATTTTGTTTCGCTCCAAGAATTCGAACAGGGTTTTGTACCGATCCAAAAAATGAAATATACTCAGAACTCGCTATTAATACGACATGCTATTTTTTCTATTTCTTCCCTTTCAGGATCAGTCGCGGTCTTCTAAAGCATACCAAAGGTATGGACGAATTTTTAACTTCATCAAAATGTGTAAAAGATTCTAGTCGCACTTAAAAGCCGAGTACTCTACCGTTGAGTTAGCAACCCGAAGAAAATATAGATTAAAGAAAATTTCAGCTGCACTAAAAAAAAAAACGGATTTTCAAATGAATTCGAAACATAAAAATGAATTGATTAGATGAAAATGCAAGAAATTCTCAGATAAGGGAAAAAAATATACATAATTCAAAAATTGATAAAGTTAGGGTACGAAAATTAATAGACCCCGTTCACTTATCATGATGAATTATATTTGTTCACTACACTGTTGTCAATAGAAATAGTAGAAAAGAATACAGTGGAAGGGGAGTAACTCAAAAAAAAAGCATAGAAAAACTATACAAAATAATATACAAATCGATACCCCCCCACGGTATTTCTTTAATTGAATCTCATTTGATTAAACGGAAGTTCATTAAAAACTTCTGCTTTCTTTAAAAGATTCTGAACAGTTTCTGTAGGTTGAGCACCTTTCTCAAGGAAATATAGAATAACAGGAACATTGAAATAAGTTTGATTCTTTATTGGATCATAAAAGCCCACTTTTTGAAGATCTTTTCCTTCTCTTCGGGATCGAACATCAATTGCAACGATTCGATAGACGGCTCATTGGGATAGATGTAGATGAACAATACCCCCCCTAGAACCGTATAGGAAGTTTTCTCCTCATACGGCTCCATAAAAAATGATTTGATTCGAGGTTTTGTCTATGTATGCAATTCTAAATGACTTAAAGACGAAATAAGCCTATAAAATAAATTAGACTCTGATTTCCGGCTTTTTTCTTCCTGAAAATCCAAAGAAACCATTCGTACTCATAACTCAAGTTGTATAACTCTCAAATAGCTCAAAGGAAAAATCTTGAGTCAATTTCATTTCTTGAGTGGTCTTTACACCCTTTTGTTTATCTCGTTTAAGATTCTATTTGGATTCTTTAGTTTTAGTTATTGAGATTCTCAATCCAATTACCAATTAAAAGTGTGTTTCCTTGTTTTTCGATCCTTATTTTAAATCATTGGGTTTAGACATTACTTCGGTGCTTCTTAATCCTTTCAAAATGGCAGCAACATACCCTTTTTTGATTTCTTTCTATCAAAGAATCCCATGGACACCCCGCGATACACTTTAAATGAATCGAAAAAGTTTAACCAATTCAAACAAGTTTTGTTTTTGAATTCGAAACTTGCTCGAATTTCATCCTTTTGATTTCTATCTATCTAAGATAGATTTACGAAGTTATTCCAATTGATTGATTGGCATTTAACCCTAGATACTTATCCCCCAGAAATGAATTAATCCTTTCGGCTCGAGCTCCACCGTGGACTATTTCCAACCCAACAAAAAGAAGGATTCAAGTGTAACAGAACAAACAATGTCGAGCCAAGAGCATCCTCATTCCCAGATAAAGTGAAAATGGTGGATCGAAAAATCCACAACGGATTCTGTCCTTCAAGCCGCACGTTGCTTTCTACCACATCGTTTCAAACGAAGTTTTACCATAATATTTTCCAATAATCCAATTTGGAACCGGTATGGAATTAATTCCATCATGGAATCATGAATAGTCATTGGTTCGAATGTCCATAGACATCGTAATCTAGACTTTGTCTTCCTTATATGATATAAGGGACGATTTTTTCTGAAAAAAGTCTTAGTAAGACAGCATCTTTAAGATCCATTAATATTAATTAATTAATAATATATATTGAATATAATGAGATATATAAACAAATCACTTCTTGAATCTGCATCTTTAAGAAACTGAATAGGATTGATTCAACAATATTGAATTCAATTTTGAATTAATTTGACAAAAATTGGATAATATCTAATAAGGATTTCCTTTCATCTTCTAGGAAGATAGGTCTTTCTTTTTGAATTGATTCATCACTGATTTCATTTAAAATAGATAAAGAGATCAAAGAAAAGAAGAACGAAATCCATTTTTTTTCATAAGATGTATCAAAAAATGATGTAAGTTGGGATTTGAATCTTTATTCTTTTCTTCTTATTATGTTAATAAGAAATAATTGAAAAAAAAAAAAAAAAGAAAATAAAAATAAAAAACAGGGAAGGATTTTCCTATTTATCAGATAAACTGATTATCAGATAGACTGAGGAGTTGTCACTGGTATAGATATTCTAACAGTATACAATAGAAATTTTCAATAATTTAAGGGATCAAAAATGGTTTTCCAAAAACCAAAAATCTCTTGTCATTGAAATAGAACGATACATACCGTCTAACCGAAACATTTCCTCATTTTAGAGGATTCCATGATATGTATTTTGTTTAACAAGGGATTGAGTAATATTTCAATAATCGGTTCTTGTCATAAGTCATAAAAAAAAGGGGATAAGAAAAATCACCCATACCTCAATCGTTCCATAGATTTCCAATTAGTCAAAGACGAAATATGGTATTTAAATTAACTCTTATCTACTCCCTTACTTCTTTCTAAGGGAGTAATGAAGCATAAAAAAAGGATCCAATCCACGCTGGGACGGAAGGATTCGAACCTCCGAATAGCGGGACCAAAACCCGTTGCCTTACCACTTGGCGACGCCCCATTTCAATTTCGAATCTACACCAAGAAATAATAATATTGGTATTGGTTTTTTGTCAACTCCAGTCCCAAAATTTCTATATTTATAGATAAATATTAGTACCAATGTTTATCTATAGATATAGAATTCAACAAAATTTCTTGATCATTACATAGAATTCAATTAAGATATTGTATGAAAGTATCATTTCTTCTATTCTCTTTTGAGAATTGGAGAATTTTTTATTGAGTGGGTTCAAAGAAAAAGAAGGGTTTTTTGTCTACCTTACTTCCTTTTTCCTTATATCAAAAACTCAATTAAAATGCAATTATCTCCAAGAACAAAACGCCTGTTATGCTTAATATTCTTAGTTTGATCTGTATTTGTATTAATTCTGCCCTTTATCCGCATTCGAGTGGTTTTTTCTTCGGCAAATTGCCCGAAGCCTACGCTTTTTTGAATCCAATCGTAGATGTTATGCCAGTCATACCTGTACTTTTTTTTCTCTTAGCTTTTGTTTGGCAAGCTGCTGTAAGCTTTCGATAAGATCCTTAAGAATATCCTAAAAAATCCATGATTTCGGCGAGAAAAAATTTGAAAAATTGATAAAATCCGATAATTTTTAGAGTGTGAACCCTCGATTCGCACACTGAAATTCTTGGATAGTCGGCATAAATCCGGCTTATGCTCATTTCCTCATTTTTGATCTTTTTTCCAAGGAAAGACCCTAACCCTATTTAGGGTCTCACACAAAATCAAATTTTTTTATGAAAAGACAATCTTTTTCCTAGAAAAACCTCATCTCTTGGTGTTTGGTGTAAAAATAGGATATGTGGTATAAAAACGGAAGATCTATTCTCTTTTTTTTATCTTTTGGAGATTGTGTAATGCTTA